TGGAGGGGATAAAGGGGCGAACGAGGGGAGGGGGGGAGGGGGGAGGAGGGGGACAGGGAAAAGGTGTCTGATCTCATCCTGTCGCATTTACTCGCTCCGGCTCGATGCATTTTATTGTAAAAGACAGAACTTTGTCAGTTCACTGGTGCTCGTCGTTGTTTCTCCGGTGAAATGAATTGCAGATTTTGGAGCAATACGGTGTGGCGCCGATATATGTTGAAGTTGTAGCTTGTGACAAAGATCCAGAATTGTCATCTGTTATGGAATCAATTCCCACTGATAAGGTTCTTGGGTCGTTCTGTTCAGTTTTTGTTATGAGACAATGCTGTGTTTTTATTAATAACTTTGAAAGTACGCGGCTTCTCGTGTTGAAGAATAAGGCAACTGTTAAAAAGTTACGTCATATAAGCAGTTGAGAAAAGGCATAACCTAAAAGAGAGCAGATTGAGGTTTGTTTGTTTCTTTAATCGGCTTCTGAAAAATTTTAGACAATGTATAAATCGGAAGGAACACTCCGCGCCACAGAAGATTATGAGTCAGAGACAGACGCACTGTTGAAGGCTGGCAGTTCGGCTCTCAGAAACACAGAACATCGCAGTACTGTGGAACGTAGCACAAAGAAGATGCGAAAAGCGAGTCGAAAATATGCCAAAGAAGGAAATAACGCAGAATACGATTATATCATTACGGATGGCAGCAGTGTAAGTTTTGCGATATTTGTTCATTGTCCTAACCGATTTTTTGTAACTGTTATAAACAACGAAAGATAACAATTGTATCAGTAAAAGTAACAGCATTTAGTTACTAATGGCAGTAACCGTTACAGGTACTACTTCTTCAGTAACAACTGCTATAATTCTTACGATACAAGCGCAGTTTATGCAAAAACTATTACTGCTGCAAGAACAACTCCTTTGACTGGCGAACTTTACCGTTTTCAGGATCAAGATGATGCGGAAGCGAGGGACTGTAAGACTGAGCGGAACCCGTCATCGAATGATAAGTCAGGCCCGAAATTTGCAAAGCTCCAAACTAGAGGAATAACCACCGATGAACCAAAGCGAATGAATGGTACAAACCGAAATAAGTAAGATTTTGTTCTTTTTTTCAACCAAAAGAAACAAGAATTTTTGGCCAGCATACCGACTGCCGTTGCGAAAATGCGTTTTTTTGCACATTTCTCTCGCAGGTTTTTGT